CGGGAGGCCGGCAGCCCCGCCCCGCCCGCCGCCCCGCAGGAAGTGCGCCCTGAGCCCTCGGCCTCGGTCCTCCTAGTGTCCAACCTCGCCACCTAGAGAGCGGCCCTGTGGAGGCTGCGCGCTGTGCCCAGCGCAGATGTTTAACGGAAATCGGAGGTGGAAAGAGACGTTGGAGGAGCCTGTTCCATTCCACCCGCGTTTACTGGCGCGCCCACGGGCAGCCACGCTTGGCGATAGGGGCTTTGGAGCACGCACCTGGGTCAGGATCATCTGGCCCTTAAAATAACCCAAAATGAAAGGAATTGTGAGCCATAATAGCAGTGGCATAAAGGACTATTATTAGGCTCAAAGGAGAGAACCATTCAAGGAGATGACCTGGGGTTTCTTCAAATGCACGCTGAGACCCCCATGCCATCTTGCTTCTGCAGCTAAGCTGCGTTTATGTAAGGTTAAACCCCGTGAGTGAACATCAGTAAGCAAAGAGAGGGAATGCTACCAATGATACGACTTTAAACTCACACCTGGACTGAACTGAAGCTTTTTGAAAGAACAGTGAGATTTTCATGCTTTCTTTGCTTCCTTTCAGGCCTTTGGCTAAGCTGGATTCTCAGCTTTCTTCGCAGAGTGGAGATAGGCAGTCATTGCTTCAGCCACGTGGGGTGGAAGTTCACTTCCTTTTCCCACCTTCCCTGTCTCTGCGGCGTTTGCTCCTAGGCCAACTCGGTGGAGGCTATCAGTCCAGGCAAGAACAAATCAATACTGACAATGTCACAGGTCGGGTGGCTTATTGTGAGGGGGCACATTTTTTCCCTATCTGTAACCAAACTCTCGGTTTGTCCCGTTTCACCACAAATCTTGAAGCTGGGATTCACTGTGGTCTCCACCACACTTTAACCTAGAAACAAGTGATGTTTCAGCAGTAGGAGAATGCAGAAAGTTGAAACTGACCCAAAATATCACTCAGAGACTCAATGAGCTTCGAAGATCTTCCTTATTCTCCCCAGCGTGATTCACTGGGCCTTAGTCCTCAGTTACCATCTTTTGTCCCCTCCGCACGTGTCTGCCTTGTAGGGAGACTAGGGGTCAGAGGGCACTGAGAACAATTTTAAGTGCTGCATCAACCTTACAGAATGCCAATGTCTGGTCCTCTTGGAACTGGGTAAGATTAACACTTTTATATTCAACAGCTTCTTGACAACTGCTACAGACCCTATTCATGGTTCTTCTGATTGGCGTTAAAATAAACAGCATGGCCGAAACCGGTTTGGCTCAGTGGATAGAGCGTCGGCCTGCGGACTGAAGGGTCCCAGGTTCGATTCTGGTCAAGGGCATGTACCTGGGTTGCGGGCACATCCCCAGTAGGAGATGTGCAAGAGGCAGCTGATCGATGTTTCTTTCTCATCGATGTTTCTAACTCTCTATCTCTCTCCCTTCCTCTCTGTAAAAAATCAATAAAATATATTTAAAAAATAAAAAAATAAACAGCATGAATATAACTAGAAATGAGTGTTCTATAGAAGTATAGCATAGGGATTTCTTATGAATGGCGGTATTTATTTTAGCAACCAGGCTGCCGTACCCTAATGGAGATTTTATTAAGACTCCACACAGCTTTCTCTTCAAGGACACCAAGGAAGAGTTCAATGTGATTGACATTGGAAGTCCTACTTGGTCACCACAAGTGGGTGACCCTGAGCAAGTTGCCTAACATTAATGAACCTGTTTTCTAACCTAAAGGGAGGAGCACAGGGAGCAAGGTAGTGTTGTGAGAATGAAATCGTATTCCTAGCAAAATACTGGTTGTGGTATAGACGCTCCCCTCCTTTCCCTCTCTGTCAAGTTTCCTCTGCTGCTCTTATGAAGTGATAATCCCAACATCTTCATAATTAAACATGCTGCACTCCAAACTCCTCTGTTTGCTCAGTTTGAGTCAGAGTACCAATTTGTATGCTCCCATCCCGCCAAAAAAAAACCCTAAAACAAAACAAAAACATAAAACCGGAGTTCCTGAAAGGCTGGATTCAAAATTGAAACAGTTTATTTATTTATTTTTTAATTTCCTGGTTGGTCAGTGGCATCTGGCCACAATGATCCAGTGGGTAGTCATCAAAACTAAAGAAAGTGAACTTCGGTGGAAAACATTTTGGTAAAAGTTTCCACCATTCATTTTTAGCCCAGGACTGCCTATTCATATTCACCATTTCCTGTTGTATTGCAGTGTTCCTTGTGGTGGAAAACTGATAGTGAAATAACGTTAAGTGTCCTAAAGTAGATGACTATGTTTTTACGAAAGGTTTTCAAAGCAACATGGTGCTAAGGAGGAAACGTGAAGTTTTTATGAGATTTTATTTTATTTCTTATTGATTGGTTTTCAGAGACAGAGAGGGAGAGAGAAAAAACATCGATTTGTTGCTCCTCCCATTTATGCCTTCATTGGTTGATTCTTTCAGGCCCTGGCCAGGATCGACCCCACAGCTTTGGTGCATCTGGACGACACCAACTAACTGAGCTACTTGGCCAGGGCCTGAAAATTTTATGTCAGAACAGAAAATTATTGCATTTGGTGGAATTTTTGGAGGGCTGAGCTCTGAGGAAGAACAAACTAGATATGTGTGTGTGCAAGGGTGGGGTGGCGGGGGCACAGGAAAAATGCCACCAGAACCCAAGAACTGAGTGTGGGGCCTTCCCGCATCCATAGGGAATCTTAGGCATTTAGGCTTGTGCCTTGCAGGGGCCAGGGCCCTAGGCCCCAAAACTGGTAAGTTTGCCAAGCTGGAATCCTGTAAATCTCACTAGCAAGTCTGTGAGAACTTTACATGAGCACCCAGACCTCAGAAACAAAGCAGAGCCACAACAGAGCATTCTCTTTCTCTCCCCTGGTACAGCATGTGCTTAGGCTGTATTCATGTTTGTGTTAGCTGCTCACCCGCTTCTGGTTTTTAATACAATCATGGCTTTATTCTACATGGTATCCCAAACCCTGCCTCAAAATAACACCAGCACTTCTGAAGTGGACGGCTGATGAGGACAAAGGAGGTTTTTAAAGAGCATTCGGAGTGACATGGACAAAGCCACAGAGGGCTGTCTCAAACAAGAGGGACAACTGAGAAGGCGCTGTCGCCAACAGAGGCAAAATTGTGTGGGTGAATTAATTCAGCCAATGGCATCCCAGGAAAAAGCAAAAGCCAGCAGGTCCACTTGAGGCTAGGATCTGAAGAGTTTTGCAAACAAGAAATTGGACCTTGCCCCAGAACCAGCAGAGGTGCTTGAGGGTAAATGATAGGACATTTATCTTTCTATATTGAAGTGCCTGGCCCCCAAAAACATGGAGACCCTTTGCAGTGGGTAATGCAGCACAGATCATGGGATTGGTGCCCAAGGACCACCTACCTGTGAGTTTGTTCACGTGCCAACTTCTAGACCCCACCTAAGAGATTCTGGTCTGGGGTGGGGCTGAAATCTAAGTCTTTTATTAACAACTGATGCTCATGTTGATGCTGGTCTATAGGCTGTACTTTGACAGACACTGTACTTAGAGCTCCACCCATTTCTCTAAACCAGAAATTGACATTCCAAACCTCCTTTTGTATATAGTATTTTAAGTGCTTATTTTGGAGAAATTTCCTGTTTCCTGAAAAGTGCTTAAAACACAAATTTCTCTTACAAAATGCAATTGCAGCGAACTCTACCCTATGCTTTTATGGTTATTTTTATTGAGGACCTACCAGGTGCTTCAAGGACAGAGGGGCTCAGATGAACTAAATTATCTGTTGACATTCATTTTTTAGTGCTGGCTATGAAGTGCCTCACGATAGAGTGGATATTTTCCAGAGCTCCAGAAACTTCTTTTGGCTGGCCGTGTGGGCTCCTAGTAAGAAGGGCTTCCTCTGGCCCTAGAAATGCAATTCACCACCATCACAAGGGACACCTGCTACTTGGCTTTCTTCACAAGCAGGCTCCGGAGTGTGGGGATGTGCACGTATCCTTTTGTGGTGGCCACCCAGCAGGGGCTGGGCCGGAGAAGATACTGAGCTGACAAGCCCTGGCACAGAACCTTATTCACCGTGAATTTTTGGATAAGATAGAAACACCTATTTACTGGCTCTGTGCTCCATGAAAGTGTGTGGGTCCATTACTAGGAATGATCCTTAAAGGGCATCTAGAAGAGGAACATTCAGATATCATATGACCCAGCAGTTTCATTCCCAGACCACAAGAGAAATGCATGTGTATCTTCATCAAAAGATGGATTCAAGAATCTCCACACTGGCGCTTTTATAAGTTTACATAATCAGGCATCTGGTGCATGATCCAAACTTCATAAATGAGGAAGCTGAGGCCCAGAGATATTAAGTAACTTGTTCAAGGCCAAACAGCTAGTGCTATTGCTAGTGCACCCTTCCAAGTGGATGCATAGGGTCCACATGTGGGTTTGGGGAATACTAGTTTAGATAAAGCCAAAAGGTAAAGGAATGAAGAAAGAAAGAGGCTCCGCTGGAGTGGTTCAGTTGGTTGAGTGTCGCCCTGTACAACAGTTGAGGTGCATAAGGAAGGCAACCGATCTATGTTTCTATCTTACATCAATGTTTCTCTCTCCATTCCTCTCTCTAAGCATGTCCTCGGGTGAGGATTTAAAATTAAAAAAGAGGGTGCTCAGTAACTTTTATTTGCCTACCAGTCATCTGCCCCTTTTCACTCTTGTCCTGTCTCTTCCTCTCTCTCCCTACAAATGCAGTTTTGTGAGGTTCTGATGCCTAGTGCTGCTACAGCCATCTTGTGGCCAAGAGTGGAGACATACCCGATACCCTGAGGATAGCAGAGTGGATAAGAGCCTGTGTTCTGAGGGCACCAGTGAGCCACTGCACCTCACCCCAGACATCTTAAGTAAACCATAAACGCCACTGTGGTCTCAGACAGTTTAATTGGGATCCCTGTAACACAGAGTTGAATTCATCCTTAGAGATTCAGGAGACAAGGCATGCAAGCAGGCAGGAGAGAAGCTAAGAAGCGAGTTTCCCTTTGTGGGTCATGGTGTTCCTATCAGCAGAACCATCCTCCTGTCACATGCATTTTCGAAAGGGGAAATAGACTCCTGGGGTGGGGGTGGGGCAAAACACTCTTAGATATTATAAGGGCTTGTGCCCCTCCAAAGTTACCTGCCAAAATCTTATGTCTTAATATTTACTTTTTCTCATTAGGGAAAATTTAAACCTAATCAACTTTTCCCCAGTGGAGGCAGTGATAAGGAAAAAAAAAAAAAGTTGAGAAACACTGTTCTCTAAGATGTGAAAAAGCTGTAAGAGGAACAGAGCTCCTGCCTCTGAATTCCACCCGATCTTCCCACACCTTTGCCCCACTGGGGTAGCTCCAGCCACGCCTGCTCTGCCAGCCCCTCCTGCGCTTTGTAAACCAGGTGACTTGTACAGGCCCTCAGGCTCATCCTAGTCACACAGAGGTGGTGAGACTGCAGGCACAAGGCCTTGTCCTTCTGTATAAGCTGTGGGCAGGGTAGCAAGATGGTGCTGGGGCCACAGCAAGAGAAGTATACTCAGTACCCAGGTTATATATAGATCCAGGCGAGGTGACTTGCTAATGATAAGGCTTCCCTCACACTGCCAGCTACATGAGGTAATTAATTATGCTGAAGCTTCAGGATTCTCTGATCAGTTTTCTGTGCCCCAGCTCAGGCCTCTTATGATATGGCAGGCAGCACACCATCACCACCACTCGTGAAGAAAATGGGAGATTTAGGAAGCTGCGCTCGCTACAACCCATTGATCTGATTCTCTCTGCTTGTGAGAATAGTAGCCTTTGGGCATAGGCCAAAACCCCCAGAAACTTCTAGAAGTTTTATCTGTTGGAAAGCTCATTTTCTACAAAATCAAACTCAGTCCTCTACAAGACTTCTTAAATCATGCTGTCCTACACTAGAATGAAGGTTCATTCAGTTCCAAATGTCTAGTGCTTATAGTGTCTCCTGGCGCCTCCAGCTTTGACCTTATAAGGTTGTTAGTCTCATTCAACTGCTTCTTGTCATCAAGTCAAGGCAGACCCATGTTCTTCCTAGGAGAAGCCACACATCTAGTCCCATGGAGTGGGATCTTAGGAGTGACTGATGGTACAAGCAAAGTGATTTAACACTGACTGAGAGCAGAGTTCTAGGTTTACCTCGACTCCTGGATTTCTGTACAGCCTCAGAATTAAGGTCTGCTCTGTTGACTTGGTTCCATCCATTAGCCCAGTACTACCTAGAACCCTGCGTAGTGTTGACACACAAGTACATGGCCAGTTACTGTCTGGGGATCAGGAAACTGAAGAGGACACCAGAAACTAAAGCATGTCACTGCTCTCTTCACAAAATGGAACATATGCTACAACATCATAATTTGTGTAATTACTAATAAAAGAGAATAATATCTCTTTAAAGCTACTCTTGTCTGGACAGCTCCTGTATTTTTATTAGAGTAGAGATATTGCTGCTGATGGCGTCCCATCAAATGGATAAGAGAAGCTACATACTGTCTGCTCCTTCCAAATGAGACCCAGGGGGCCTTCGGCTAGTCGGGCAGTGAAAGGCAGTAGAAAGAATATCTCTCACCTACCAGTATGGCTTCAGGTGGTACAGAAATCGACAGTGCAGTTGGCCAGGTAGCTCAGTTGGTTAGAGTGTTGTCCTAATATGCCAAGGTTTCAGGTTCGATTCCTGGTCAGGGCACATACAAGAATTGACCAATGAATGCATAGATAAGTAGAACAAATTGAGGTTTCTCTCCCTTCCTCTCTCTCTCTAAAATCAATAATAAACACACAAATAGAGATTGTGCAGAGTTGAGTGGGGAGCCAAGATTTAAAAATAAAAAATAAAAAAAAACAGGGTAAGGGATCTGAATTGGTCACTAAAGCAAGGGGAGGGTAGTCCAAGCAGATGTCAATGGTGAAGAAAAGAGCCAGGGTTCAAGAACCAGGACAACATGTCCAGCAAAGAAGCCTCTGATGATCCTGAGCGGTGTCTTGAGGCAGGGGAGGACCGGGGATGCCAGTGTGAACCAGTGTGCTTGCTGGGGTGGATGCGTGGAATGGTCCGGACGGTCAGAATCTGCTGTTCTGGAAGGCTTCTCTGAGCTTGCTGGGGGGATTTGGACAGGGGAAATGACTTTTCAGAATTGCTCTCTGACCCACCTACATAATTTGTTCAAAGTAAGCAACTCATTGTCAGAAGGCAGGATGCTTTCTTGGCCTAGATATGCTCCCTCAGGAAGAATGCGGCCAGCAAAAGGATCTTCCTCTCCCTCTTAATTTAAACTTTTTATTTTAGAATACTTTTAGATTTACTGAAAAGTTGCAAAGATAGTACAGTGTCCTCATATGCTCCTCACCCAGAGTTAACGCCCTAGGTCATGAAGGTACGTTTGTCACAACTAAGGAGCAACACTGGGACATTACCATCAATATCCACACTATATAATGCAGCAGTAAAAAAGGAATTAGAGCTTTGTGTATCAGGAGGTCTATGATAAATTAAAAAGGCAAGTGCAAAAAAAAAAGATTAAAAAATAAATAAAATAAAAAGGCAAGTGCTGAAGTAATATGTATACTGGGATTACTGTATATGACTGAATGTATACGTGTATGTGTTTACATGAAAATAGAAAACACATAATAGGATATGAACTAAGCTGTTAAGGTTTTTAACTTGGGGTGAGGGGGCAGCAGGGCAGGCAGGGATCAGATTACCATTTTCTTTCTACAACTTCATAATATTTACTTTCACACATTACAACGAGCATTTATTTCTTCTGTAATTTGAACACTCTACTAAGAAAAAAATTTTAAATCAAAACATGAAACATCTGAGTTAAACACTTACAATGCCCCCTACTTCTTTTACAAAGCTAAGCAATATTATTTGTGTCAGCTGACCTCTTGCTTGCCTTTCTCCACTCTTAAATTGATATAACTATAAAAAGAAGGGTAAGAAATCCCCTCTACACCCCAATTAAAAGTGCATAGCATTTTTTAAAAAAACTCTTATGACAGGCATGGCTTTCTATTTCAAATTAAACGTATCCGCTACTCAACAGCAGCAAGGACACCTCCAGGCTCAGTCCTAGGCTTCCACTTACAGCCATGTCGCAACCCTCTCTTCCACTTTACAGACATGTTCCTCTGTGTCCTACCTCACCTCATCAGATGTGAGAGGTGTTAACAAGCAAGGTTGAATTCATGTCATACAATTTGAGGTGGACTACAGAAGTATTTTCCATTTTTAAAAAACTTCAATTTTACTTATTCAAATTCTTCCTGCTTCAGAATTGTCTCTTTGCTGTTAACTTTATACATAAGGTGTATTTTTAACTGGAGCTGGTATGTCCTCAGCATCTTTATTTTGAAGATGATCTTAAAAGGTTTCTTAATATTCTAACTACATTCTGAATATAAAATATAACATAGCATATGATGAGCCATCTGGATGACCACTATTTAATCGACTAATGAAATAGATGTCAGTGCCCACATTTATATATATTTTTAAAATATATATTACTGATTTTTTACAGAGAGGAAGGGAGAGAGATAGTCAGAAACATCGATGAGAGAGAACCATCAACCAGCTACCTCCTGCACACCTCCTACTGGGGATGTGCCCGCAACCCAGGTACATGCCCTTGACCGGAATCGAACCCAGGACCTTTCAGTCCGCAGGCCAAGGCTCTATCCACTGAGCCAAACCGGTTTTGGCGCCCACATTTATATTTAAGATTTAAAAAAAAATACCCAAATCTTTCGACTTTAATTTTCTTATGCTGCTGATGAAAGCACAGCAACAGGCTTAGCACAGGTAAACGTACACCTAGTCAGGCCCATCTGAACAACTGTGGGACCTGTGGCAAGACTACAGAGGCAGGCTCACATTCCGTCCGTCTAAATACTTGAAAGTTATAAATCAAGCTGCAAATGTGTGTAAAGCTATGGCTTCGAAATGACTGAGAGTTGGCTAAATATCAAAGACAACTTACTCTATTATTTTTCATGTCTAGGTGGTCTGTTAATATTTGATATGAGTAATAAAATCAATACATAAACAGTTTATAAAATGTCTCTCTATTGCTTTTACAGGAGCAAAATAATATTTACATTATTATCCTATAAAATAAAAGCCTAATATGCTAAGTGTCCACTTGTCCGGTCACCCATTCAACCAATCAAAGCATAATATGCTAATGATATGCTATGGCCACTCAACCACTCCCTATGACATGCATTGACCCCACTGGTGCACGAATTTGTGCATAGGGCCTCTAGTAAGATTATAAGATGTATCACATAAATTGTGTTCCATAAACAGTGTTAAAAGATAAATTGAGGCATATTGGGGAAAAGGTTAGGGGAGCTCCACAGACAGGAACTGGGGAGACACTTCATAGAGAAAAGGTAATTATTGATTGGATATAGCTTAAAGCCTAGTTGGCTGTTTGTAATTGGTTGTCCTTAGGCTTCAATTCTGTAACCTTAAGATATTTGCATGTTTAGATTTTGGTTCACTTATGCAAGCTGCTACAGTATTAGAACCCCCTCAGTCTAATGGTCTCTTTGTATAATCAATATAACAATAGTTATGTCCAACTGGACACACTTCCTTAAGTGGTTATACTTCTTAGATGTTTTTTTTTATTATTAATTTCAATTTAGATAAAACATGTCCTCTGTTAAGGAAGCAATTGAAATTGCCAATTACTAAAGTAATACTTAGATTCAAAACTGAATCACAAATTTTATATATCATATTACAACATTGACCCCTAGCCAGTTTGGCTCTGTGGATAGAGCATCAGCCTAGAACTGAAGGAACCGAGTCAGGTCAAGGGCACATATCTCCATTGCAGGCTTGATCTCCAGCCCTGGTTGGGGCAGGTGCAGGGGGGCAACCAACTGATGTGTCTCTCCCACATCAATGCTTCTCTCTGTGTGTTGCTCCCCCTCTCTTCCACTCTCTCTAAAAATCAAGGGAAAAATATCCTCGGGTGACTAACAACAACAAAACCACACTGAAATGGTGATGCATATGATAAATCATTATCTCAGAATATTCGTTTATATTTTAACTCAATCCACAACTATCACGTAGAATGCAATCTTTACCATCACTTCAAGTAGTATCTAGCACAGTGGTTCTCAACATTCCTAATGCCGCCACCCTTTAATACAGTTCCTCATGTTGCGGTGACCCCCAATTTCATTGTTACAAATTGAACATAATTAAAGAATAGTGATTAATCACAAAAACAATATGTAATTATGTATGTGTTTTCTGATGGTCTTAGGGGTCGCGACCCACAGGTTGAGAACCGCTGATCTAGAGTCATACAGCAAATAATCTGTCATGCTTCACTCATGTGTTAAGAAACAACAGACCCCAAATGGAATCACTTTTGCTAAGCCCACATCACAGAAGCAAAACTTAGTTCCTAACTTAATTATCACAGAATAGCAATAGAGGATTAGGGTGGCTTCAATTGGAAAGTGAGGACTATTATCAACTCCACTTTGATACTGAAAGTCTATAATAAACATAATGGCTCAGGATGAAGTAATTCACACACTGCTATCTCAAGTTTCCTTATCATTTGACAAAGCCATAGGACTATAACATGCACTCCTTTTATCCTGGACTTTCCCCTAGTACC